GGTGGGTGGGGGGGTGAGTACCCACAGAAGTCTTTAGCACTGAGGTCATCTAACATCTCAGCCCTGAAGCTATCAGGCCACTTTGAAAATACCAGGAGAATTCCTTTCTGCCACCGTCCTCATGACTTCCAGCTTGAAGGGCTCAGCCTGTGTGATTCCACAGGTCCTGCTCTCCCTCCAATGACTCTGCCACAGGCTGCATGGGGCTGAGACACTCACCACAGCTCCTAGTCCAGGATCCTAGATGCATCTTGGACACAGAGGGAAAGCACTCCACCAGTTTTTCCAATGTCATAGAAAATGTTTATTTAGGAAGCACCGTTTTTTCCTTTGCTCTAGGGTTTTACATCTAAGACCCAGGAAAATGGAAAGTAAAGACTTTTTCCCAGACTCCTTCCTAAATCACTCTGAGGTTATATACACTGCCTAATATTAAACTGTCACTAACATTTGTCTAATTCAAGAGAAAACAACTTGTCCAATGGTTTCTCATGGCCCTTAGGGAAATTCCAATCCTTAGTTTGCTGACAGGTCCTTAAGAGACTGGATCTTTATGCTACTTTTCAACACACAGGTTTCCCTTTACTCTGCTTTCTGGCCACAGCAGATTCATCTCAGTGCATGGAACACTCCATGGTTTTACCAGCACCCAGCACTGATACTGGACTCAGCCTGGACGCAGATCTCCTGCCCTTCCCCACCTCAAGCACAGGCCCTCACACACAGACACTACATCACATGCTTCTTCTGATCTCTCTCCTCTCTCTCCTCTCTCTCTCTCTCTCTCTCTCTCTCTCTCTCATTTCCCCCCTTTTTTTCTTTGTTTATTTGAAACAGGGTCCCATCATCTAGCACAGACAAGCCTTAAATTTACTATGTGGCCCAGGCTGACCTTGAACTTGCAATCTTGCTACCTCAGCCTGCCTCCAAGTGCTGGGATTGCAGGTTTGTGCCATGATGCCTGGCTTCTGACTTTTCACCATGGTTTTGCGTCATCTTTCACTCCTGGTGAGAGTCTCCTGAGACTGCAGAAGCTCGTACAAGTAGAGCAAGTTCTGGAAACCACAGGACTCAGGAAGCTCAGAAAGTTGCCAGATTAAAAGGCCCTTCCCCAAGGACATAGGAGAACACAACCGATGGGGAAAGGAGACTCTTCCATGGAGCTGCCTGTAAGTTGTCCAGGGAGCTCTATAGATGTGGCTTTTGCAAATCATGGCCTACCCTGGTGGGGGGTGGGGTGTTGCTTGCCCAGAGTCACCCACGCTCCTTTAGGTAACCCCGATAACCCCATGGGTTTACCAACTTGGGTAGAATCACTTCTGTGATCTATCATTTGTGTGAATAGACATCTGTTCACATCTCCCCAACAAAACCATTCAACAATCTCAAATATTGTGTTTCAAAGACTGACAACTCCGGGAAAAAAAAAAAAAAATCTTTCATTTTCTGTTCCCATGAGAGCGTCTCAAAATTCGTTTTCATAATATTCAAGGAAAGTCAGTTGTTTTACTATGTATTTTCTAGACTGCTTCCCAGGGCCACAGTCATATTTAACTTTTAAACTATTAGAATATGAAACATGCAGTTCCATTGTACTTGAGAGTTGCTTAAACATTTGCTGGTGAAATAGAGTGGAGGGAGGGGGCGAGAAAGAACACAATGCCATAAAGTAAGTCTGTTCAAATTTACTTAAACATTTTGTTTATTTATTTTGTGACAGGGTCTCACTTTATAGCCCAGTTCCAGTTTAGCCTGGGACTCACACTGTAGCCCAGGCTGACCTTGAACATATAGCAAGTCTTCTGCCTCAGCCTCTAAGTGTTGGGATTACAGATGCCCACCTCCGCCCCCACCTACACATTTTTAATCTTTATTATAAGGTAGCTTACCAGCTGTTTGGAAGTTGGTTCTGCTATTTTGGCTGTAGAGAATCACACCCTTTTTGTAACTTTCATTTCCTTGTTAGTAAATTCGATATAGAAATAAAAGCACATCTATTTTATACCTGTAAGTTTAAGGTGAGGTTTCATCAAGACAGCCTAGGCAGTTACCTTGATACTGAACATCTATTGAATTCTCAGAAATGTCACCTGTCACGGTTAACAATTTACCTGAGGATCAAAAAGAAAATACAGATGGCCATTCTTCAACTGGAGTGCAAAATATTGTTCCTGGCTGCCAAGGGATGATGCAAAGATGATCAGACCTTCAGGCACTCTTGTTTGGAAGTTGGCCTTGATGCCTGGAAGGCAAGTGGTAGTGGTATCAGTACGTCAGCACTTTGGGTTGTATTGATTCTTCCTGATAAACATACATTTACTCTCATTATTATTTATGATATAGTCTGGAAATTATACACAGCAATGTGATGCAAGTGCAAGTGGTCCTAGCCATTTGGGTTTAAATATTTTTGAACCCATTTTAAATGTTAACCAGCACTTGAAAACCCATACCGCACACCTGTTAATCAATGTATGATACAGTTTGAGTGTGTGTGACCTCATCAACCTGCAAAGACATATTGTCAACTTCCAAACTGGATACTAAAGAGTATCAATGTGAAAATATTATCAGAGTCCTAAAAATAAATGGGGTGTTGTGAAAGAAACACAAAGACCCTTGTTTATATACTTATGAAGCCAATCAGTCCATTAATAGATGCTAAGACAAAAAAGACCTGCCACGAACTAGTCTGTTAGAACTGATTGGAACAGTATCTTATAAAACAATGTCTTGTTATCATCAGAACTGCAGGTCTCCACTGGCCTTCAGTCTACCTACCAACCATTTAGTACTTTTATCTCACAGAACTTTCCAGCTCAGGGAGCAAGGGTGACTTGCAGATCATAAAGCTACCTTCTCATATGCCCTTGAGCCCCATCTCCAGTCCACTTGGCATCCCACCTACACAGCATACACATAGAGCTCTTCCCCCGTCTCCATAGTAAATACTTCTTTTTTAAAAGGAGAAAGTTCAGTGCAGGAAAGGCATCCGGGCCTGACACTGTCAGCTGGACTTCTTTCAAATTTTTCAAATAATCCAATCTTGACATCTCTCTTTGTGTTGTGAAGATAGATAAAAACTGATTCTCATTCTCCTTGGCATTAGAAGGAAACTGAAGGTGCACAAATCCACTGAAGTGTGTTCTTGAAAACGAGTTAACTATTACTATACAGATAAATCCCAGCATTTGAGTCAAATGCTTACATCGTATAATCAATTATTTAAATGAACTAAATTGGCAAATGAATATATTTAAATATAAACATAATAATCATTTGATGAATGTGTAAAATAAAGAAAATCTTATTGAATTTACAATGAGGCAGGATGGTTAAATGCATAATTATTCAAAATAATTAACACCCTCCTTTCCTATAAGGAAGTCACATATTTATATCTCCCCATGCACAAACTTAGCCTCAACCACGTGACTAGCATTGGCCAAAGGAATAAAAGTTGGTATGTAGTCCCCTGTGAGGGCAGAGGGTTTGAATTCGGCTGCTGGCTGAAGTTCCCCTCCCTGACTTCCCTTCTGCCTCACAAATGTGTTTCCATCTTGGGCCCAAGAGGAAGGAGACTTGCGGACCACCCCCAAGCAACTGCCCCAAAACTTTAATTTAAATGTTTATGGGAAGCTACAGCACTAAGACACACAGAGAAATGGAAAACATGCATTTCTCACTTGCTAAAATGTACATATAAGGCGCACGCCTTTAACCCCAGCACTCCGGAGGCAGAGGCGGGTGGATCTCTGTGAGTTCAAGGCCAGCCTGGTCTACATAGTGAGTTCCAGGACAGCTGGGACTACAGGGAGACCCTGTCTTAAAAAAGACCAAAAAAATGTAATTTAAGGCATCTTATAAACCAAGACAGAGAAGAAATACTCTAAATTTCAATATTTATATTCAAAGTTTAGAGAAATAAATCAGTAGTTCCTTCACATCTGTACTTACACACTCATGCAGGAAATGTTTAGGGAACCATAATTTATGTAGCCAGTATTCTAGGTTGCCAGGACAAGCATGTTCACACACACACACACACACACACACACACACACACACGTTACCATGTATTATATTAATCAGAAGAAATAAGGGGAAATCTAAAACACCATATGTGTGGGACTACACACATACAATTTTCATAAACAAGTCAATAGAACATAAATTCCAACTCTGAACAACAATCGGGTGGTATTCATTAAGTTGCTTGTTTATAAAACTTTTTTTTTTCTTGTAAAGACATGGTCTCAATGTGTAATCTTGGCTAGCCTGGAGCTCTCTAAATAGACTAGGCTGTCCTTGAACTCACAGAGTTCTGCCTGCCTCTTCCTCCTGAGTGCTGGGATTTAAGGTGTGCGCCAGTGTGCCTAGCTGACACATAACATTTAAGCAGAATCTTGTCATATAGGGAAGACTGGACTTAATTTTGCAATTTTCCCATCTCTGCTTTGTAAATGATGCTGGGATTGTAGGCCTATATTACCATGCCTGGCACATATGCATGCTTTTTGATTCAACCATTTGACTCCAAGATATATAACCCCCATTGGAATACATCGGTACAGATGATGTAGAGGTGTGTTTATAGGACTCCTTCCTATTCAGCTGTCAATCAGAACACATAAATACCCACAAACTATAGAAAAGATAACTTTGCTATTGCTACACTCACTTTCATGTATGAGCCTCACATACTTGATACTGTACTAAAGGCACAAAGTATGATCCACTGTGAGGGTCATTTATATAGCTAGATTTTCAGAACCAGCAAAAAGCAGTACTAAGTCATGAAGGCAGGCTATTCAGATTTCTGAGGTTTCCTGAGGACATGGAGCTGAGCGTCTGGACGCTCGGCAGGGTTCTATGTGGAGGTCTGGGTACTGGATTTCAAGAGCTGGTGGTTTGTGAAGACAATCTATACTCTGATGATTTCCCCAACTGTTCTGTGTGCTGTACAGCAACAGCAAATTTAAAGCAAAGTAAATGAAGAATAGATGCATAAATTTAAAGTCTACATTTATGCTTTCTCATGTGAATGTCTGCTTTCCATCACACTCTCATCAATAATGGACATCTGAAAACACGACAATTCAATGTTGATTTTGTTCTATTTTTATATTACTGGTGATAGTAGAAATTTCATATACATTATGTGTTTTCAGTTTTCTTGGACTTATACTTCTTTGCCTAGTGTCAAAAATCTCTCTTTGGTCATTTCTGCATTACGTATAAGAACTCATCATATATTGTGAGTCTCAGATTGTGAAGCACTGTTATCTGTCCTAGATCTTGGTAACATACCTCTCCAAACATCTGATCTCCCTTCTCTCTTCTCTCTTCTCTCTTCTCCCTTCTCTCTCTCAACATAACAGCCAAAGTGATCCCATCAGAAGATGATTCTGGCCCCAATTCTGCCTCTTCCTGGTCTGAGCTAAGCACCTCTTGTCTCATTTCAAGCAAACAGCAACGTTTCCACGCACTGTACCATGTTCTGCTCCTCCAGCCTCTGCTGTGCTCTCAAGTCCTTTCACGTTTCCCGCCCTCTCTCCATTCCACCTGGCTCACGGCCTTTGTCTGGATCTCTTTCTTAGCGCCCTGCACAGTTTGCTGTCTCATTCTTCGCAGACGTTTGCTCGGACTCATCTCTGGGATGCCCGTTTGGCTGCTCTGGTTACAGTTACGACCAGCTTTTCCTTCTTGCCACACGGTTTTCCTTGTCAGCAGCTAAGCCTTCATCTTTCATTTAACCCCCACATCTCCCCTACCATGTAAGCCTGGACCACTTCCTCCCGTTTCACAGTGGCACTCAGTAAGGGCTTACGGGTTTCCTACACAGACCTTTTTTCTATGTAGTTGCTTCAACCACTGTTCCCTGTTTGGGTGTGTCTCTTTCAGACAGATTTTTCACTGTTCATTTGCCAAACAAATAAATGCATAAACATTCAAAGTTTTAAAATATATTTCTTCACTTTTTTCCTGCAATTTAGATTAGTTGGAAAGCATTTCACTCACAAAACAGTATAGTTTCCAGTAATTTCTTCTGCACAGTCAACACTTCAGCACTTTAAATTTGGGTCTGGATTATCCGGCCTCCCACAGGATAAAATAATCTAATGTAAATCTTTCCACATTTCCTCTAAAACAAAAATTAAAAAAAATGTTCAAGGAGTGCATATTAAACCATGCATAATCCAAGTCCCTAGTATTGGAAGAATTAAAAATTCTTTAAGGGGTTGGAGAGATGGCTCAGCAGTTAGAACACTTGACTGCTTTTGCAGAGGACTGAGGTTCGATTCACAGCACCCACGTGACCACTACGAACCATCCTTAACTCCAGTTCCAGGGGAATCTGAAGCCCTCTTCCTACCTCTGTGGGCATCGCACGACACGGGTGCACTCATATACACGGAGGCAATACACTCATACACATTAAAAAACAAAACAAAACACCCTCCAACTCCTTAATACCTGAAAAAGAGACTTAGCAGCTTCCTAAGAAAAGGTGAGCAAAACCTCAAAATAGACAATTGATTAAAACAACAACAAAAACCCACAATAAAGTGTTCTATGCAAAACTAAGGCTCACAAGAAAAACATTTAGACCCACCAGTAATCAGGAAACTGCAAGTTACAAGTACCACAAAGCACGTTTCATGCTCAGCACAGGCTAAAACTTGAAGCAGCGACACCCGGAGCTGGAACAAAGCATAGCGGAGTCCTCCCCTTTCAGCCGGTCAGAGAGCTCTGCCTTTCCACGGCTGCGTAGTGTCTTTATATTTACCGGCGTGGTTTGAACTCAGGCTTGGCAGGTTTTACACATTTTCTTTCTTTCGTTAGCTCTGCTTCCTTTCGTTTGGTCTTTGTACCTGGTCTGCCTTGTTCTCGATTATTAAAGTTATTTTAATACTCTGGTTTAATTTCTTTCTTATCTCTAGAACCACACTTTTTAAAGTAGCTGATCTCACAACCACCATATACATTCCTAACAAATATCCCACAAATTAGTATTACATGATTTTATATTCATAGCAGCATATTTACATTTAGTATACACCAAGCATTTGAACTCTTTTTGATACACATGACTCTTCGTGCTGCCGTGTGATACAGCTATAGTTACTATTTATATACGTGATACAGCTATAGTTACTATTTATATATGTGATACAGCTATAGGTACTATTTATATATGTGATATAGCTATAGTTACTATTTATATATGTGATACAGCTA